AGTGTTACGAAGATTTTTATTATAGCTCCGTCGAGAAACATATCTCAAATATTCTTTATAGTTTAGGGGAAAAGTTTGCACCTGATATAGTTGAGACTTCACCAAGAATATAATGTCTGTAAAATTTGGGTCTGAAGGCCAGAATGGAAAGCTGAAGAAAGCTGCTCAAAGGTAATCGTGTATGGATAGTGGAATCAGCAGAGGCAGCAGCTGCATCACACACATCACCTTTCGAAGTCGAAAAACCAAAACTAAATAATCACGGTCTATCACAAAACGGTTGTTGACTATTCTGATTCCAGGCTCCAAAATGAGAGCCGACTTTAATCACTGAACCTAAAGAGGACAAAGAAGAAGGTAAATCATACAACTAGTTAAACTGATTAATATTTCTTATGGTAGAATCATCTTTAGAAACCAGATCATTTCCATACCAAACTTTGAAAAAGAGGATAAAAATTAACAACTTACCCCGTTATGAGATTCCAAAGAGTAACCTGAGAATATTCTTCAGCTGTCTTCCGAAATGGTGAAAATTCAGTTATGAACTCTTTTATTTTTAATACAACGTTAACAGGTTCGCGCTTAAAACCACGAAACGTAGTTCTCTTGTTATCGAAAACAAAATCATAAATTTTAATGTAGCCAAGAAAGGCATATTGTGAGATTCCTAATTAATCAAATGGCCTTCCGAGAGATGGAAGAAAGGGTTTTTTGCTAAGACACTAGAAGGTGGCAGCCTCCGTGGTGGGGTATTAAGCACATTTGAGGACAATTTTGAAAGGTCAAACCACGCACTTTCGAAATCTCAAACGCAAATAAACTCAAGATGACACCTTGTAGAAAGAGACAATCCTATTGGGCTAATTTTTTTTTACGACTGAGAGATAAAATTTGTCAACTTTGACGCCCAACAGTTAATTTTTTGGCCGTATTACTGCTAACGGTTAATCTCGTTGAGACCCTCATTTAAGGTAAATTCAAACAACTTCAGCAGCCATAGTAACGGTCTTAGACTTAAAAAGAATATAAATGAAATCCAAAAGGGAAATGGTAGGCGTAGCAGGTGAAAAACTGAAGAGGGAAATTCGTTCAATTCGTTTGAACTTGAAAAGTATCGGCCCGCACTTTTTCATGAGTATTCAGAGCGCTCAAAAATAATCTTTTTTGGATTGTGGTGCAAGTTTGCCAATATTGTTTTTGTTAATTTGGCTGACAAAGAATGAAAACACCATATTCATGTTCCACCTTATTTTTTCGTTCATACACTGACGACTGACCCTCAAAACGATTTGCTTTGCTATCATCATATCGTGTTAGCAGAGAACTTTACAGCGGATGAAACTGATTCAGTGAGAGTGAATGATGAAGTTTGTCACTTCTTGAGGTCTGTCCAGGCATTGTGGGTAAAATGCGATGTGTATTGTATTACGCTGTAAAGTGAGGGTATGAATGGGTTAACTGATAGCCATAAAACAGCTAAAAAAATAGCCGTTAGGTGTAAGAATTACGAATTTTAAGCGTTAGTCGTGATAAAAAAAGTGAACAGTAGTTTATTTTTTGCTACCTGCATTGAAAGAAAATTAAACGTCAACCATAAAAGCTATCAACCCTTCTCTTCCCCCGAGATTCTCCAATGTGGCTTGTACAGCCAATCTTTGAACAATAAAATGCGATACTGATCAGATGCTTCTAGATTCTCCCCAGTTACGATCACTGACATCGGGAATGATTTCCAAATAAGAATTCAGAGGCGTCAACATTATATTTGCTCAATTAAGCGCCTTGGCGTTAACTTGTCGCGGCCCGTGTATTTGGGGCGCGTCAAATTCTTCTAATTTCAAAAAATTAAAATAGAACGCGAAATTTCCAACATCAAAGAAAGAACATATTGAATATAAAATATTACCTACTTTCCCGTTTTGGTGGGGAAAACGGGCTTGTCCTTAGAATAGCTCATGCTGAATCTTGGAATATGCCTTATGGAATATGCCTGTGGTTCCATTCTTCGTAGGCGTTTCAGATCTTTTCAAAATTAATTGTGGTTTTTCCTTATTTACCTTTTTTCCTAATAGTCACGTTTGGTCTCGAAGTCCTCATGAGCATTTCCTGTTCGTCGAGTATCGCCTTTTACAGATCTTAGAAACGTTAAAGGAGGAATCAAGTCCGACCCAAAACACTACAAAAGTGAAGGAAACATCTCAAGTATTGAGTTAGCTCCCTCACTTAATGGTTCACAGTGGCCAGAGTTCTTATGTAGCAACCATACCGGTCAGGAGCAGACTATGGAAGCCGTTGTGGTGCAAAATTCAACCGATCAGATTGCTGCCAACATCAACATTTATTATTAAGGTCAACGATAAAATATGTCCAAATTCAACAGCTAATATCAATATCGACACTCCAAACACATTAGATCCAACAATCGAAGTGACTCAACATCAACACAAATTTTCCTAGTCTGCAACCCCAGAGAATCACGTCAAAACCAACACGGTATAAAGCTTCAAGTTCAACAACAAAACAGGTTCAACAATTTGGGTACGAGCGACTGGAAATGGCCGAGGGATCTTGGGACTTATATTTTTATCCCGATTCCAGCAGTAGCCATATTTAGCGAAGCTACCACTCTTCATTCTCGTAGATGTTGTTTAAACGCAATAACTTGTTCCCAAGATCTCTAAGTGGTTATTCACGATACTGATGTAAAGGGTGCTTTGTAAAACCAAAACTTCTGTAATGATATCTCATGGGTAAAATGACTGATCATGAAATAAGTGTTATCAAATGTTTTCCCTGTGAGTATAAGTTAGTCTCCTTGGCACGACCTATCTGCCTCCTTTCGCCAGCACGTACATGCATACGAGTTTGCTCCCGGATGTAGGAAAAGAAAAGAAACATTTGACTGGTACTAATTATCACGAAACGGTTGTTGGCTATTCTGATTCCAGGCTCCTAAATGAGAGCCGACTTTAATCACTGAACCTAAAGGGGACAAAGAAGAAGGTAAATCATACAACTGGTTAACTGATTAATATTTCTCATGGGAGAAGCATCTTTTTGTCCTACTCAGAACCCGCTCCGGTTAAGCCCGAGGGACGGGTCCGAACATGGAGCCTACCTGATATGGAGGAGAAACGTTCACGAGGCCAAGAAACGATGCACAAAGTTAAAGCGTCTCCATCGCGGCTTCAATTTCCCGAACAGTCGTTGAAAAACCTGAGAGAAGAAGGCAGTTTATCTTCGCTGAGACACACCTCAGAGGCAGTTAGGTCTCGTTCTTCGTCAGTGATGTCACTTGTGGATAATTACGACAGCCAAATTTGTGATCAACATTTTCCATCCCAAGAGCCTCTTGAAGCTGAAGAAGTGACGGGTCACTGGGTAAATCACAATAGAAGACAATCTATATCCAAACAGCCGTCATTCTTGATGGTCCAAGAGAACGACGAAGAAAACGAAGCTATGGTGAGAGTAACGATTTAATTTTAGAATTTTACCAAGCGCTTCGTAACTACATTACGAGCAGTCCCTCCTTTTCGCTCTTCGGCGAATTCCGTCGCGCGATTCAAAAAAAACAAAAAACAAAAAACAAAAAAACAGTGAAGCCACTCCCAGTGATCCCTGTGGCGCGCTGCCATCAAAATTTTACATCGTTCTTTTTTTTTAACTCACGTGACGGACTTTGCTGAGAAGGAGAGACTTACCAGAGTTGATTTAGAAATGTCAAACACGAGGTGACTGACTGGTAATTTAAAAAATGTGACTTCATGCCAGACAAGGTTGACTGGTAATTTAAAAGATGTGACTCCAGGCAAGGATCGTGCCCCCGCCGATTACAGTCGAACCTGTATTAAGTGGCACTGTATTGAGGAGGAAAATTAAGATTAACTCGGGAAACTTATTAAATATTCAAACTGGCACCTCTGCTTCATCTCTACCAAGACAGTGATTCCCGAGGGACGTCAGCGTATTTTGTGGCATCTCTTCTCCTGAGCAGTCCTGTGTCTCTTATTAACCCTTTAACTCCCATGAGTGACCAAGACAGAATTTCTCCTAACAATATCAACTAGATAAGTGATGAGAATAAAGAAAAATATCAATCTGGGGATAATATGTTGATCCAATACTAAATTCTCTGAACTAGCATGATAAGAATTGTATGGTTGACAGTAAGAAGAATTACAAATCTGATCTGGGAGTTAAAGGGTTAAGTGGTCATTAAGTAGTAAATATTCAATAGAGTGGCCTTGTTTATCGTCTTTTTTTATAATACTCCGTATCTGTGGAACCTGTATTAAGCGGTCACCCTGTATTAACCTGTATTATTTTACGAATGTACGGCTAAAATGATCTACCCACCGAGCTAAAGAAAGCTCGTTAGTGAGTGGGGCTATCACAGTTGGTTCGTTTGTCTGATAAGTGCTCCATATAATGCTAACTGCATGTTACCCCCCAGGTAAAAAAAAAATAGTGTCAAAATAATTTTCAGTGATGTCATTTTTATAGAGTGTTTCATCAGAAAGTGGAAATGATGATGTGTCAACAGTGGGGGCTGCTGTCAGGATGTGGAGGACTAAGCAGAGTGAACGTTGAGCAACAATCGCCTCAGACTCCCCTCTGACTGACATTCCTAAGTATGCGTCAGAAATAGAGCAACAAGCGTTTAGCAGGATCAAGCAATGGAAGAACAGCTTTGCTCTGAAATTGAACAATGTTCTTGGGAGCGATTCCAGGAGATGGTTGCGAAAAAGGAAGAAGAATCATCCCGAAAGAAGAAGCTAAAAGTTTTAAACGTTCCCATGAACTTGTCTGATCGAGAAACAGGACAACTGAGGAAAAAAGGTACTTCTGTAATTGAAGCAAAAATCAATTGGGGGCAGCAGTCATGAACCTTAGCAGACAATGACGTCCCCCTTCCACCCAAGCTTCCCATTCCGCGAGTTAAATTTCCAAGAAAAGCATCAAGTGATCAGAACCCTGCAGATTTAACGGCTCAAATGATGAAGGAATTATCACGTCGTGTTTCGTCTGTTTTGAACGACGAGGAGGTTACCGACTGCTATAGACCATCATCTTTTGTGCCAGTCTCCACAAAGAGCTCGCTCCGAGCCAAGCATCAAAATGCTGATTACATACCCTACGGAACTGGTTATAAATTATTGGATCCTGATAGTATTTATCCCTTGTTAAATTGGCACGAGGCCGAGAGAAAGCGCTTGAAAGCTGAGTTAGAGGGGTTACCGAAAGCTGACTTACAAGGACGACAGGTGGGGTATAGCTATAGCAATATGTGCTTTGACTGGTACGTAGCAGAGGAGCGGGTCAGCATAGATAACAACGGGTATTTTCTGTGAGTCTAAAATGAGGGGAAAAAAGTTGTTTTACAGCTTTGAAAGCAATATGGTTAAACTGTGCGACTACAAAAACTCTTCATTGGAGTGGTTGTGATAATGACTTCTGCTAATTTTGACAAAAATTGTTTGAAGGACTACTCTTATCGTACCATCAGACTTCTCAAACCAATAGTTCTTGTACAACTCGTTTAATATAAGAATTTAAATAATATGTTTCTCTACAGAAGGTTCGAAGAGCAGGAAAGTAATTTCATAGAAAGCCATTGCCTTTGGCAATAACCTCAGCTATAAGGAATGTCAATTAAGTTACGATTAACCAACTTCTCTTTGTTAAGAAAGTTGACTGCGAAAATGTGAAAGTCTTTGATAGGGATTAGTCCTGCAGTAGTTTAGTCTTAGTAAATACATACTGAATAATCGCATGTACCAAGTGGAGTAGAGAAGTTTTGATTCCATTTTCATCATCTTTTGTTGATCATTAAAAGAGACGATGCAAATAAAGTTCTTCATTCGGTGTTCAAAATAACGGAAGACATTTTTACGGGGACGATAAAGCGTTTCATGGGGTCAGAAGAATCAGTAGTTACCGTAGGCACATCAAACAATGGAGGCAAAGCTAATTTATCTCACACGACGGGAATTGAAGAGCAAACTCAAAGTACCATTTCAGGTCCGGCATGTCGAGCTAAAAAAAACTGCAAAGTCATACTCAATAATTTTTTAACGCTGTTTAGAAACTACTACTTTCAGTTGGAAAAGACTTTTGCTGCAGCCCTGGAACCCAGGCCCCTAAGACGATGAAGTCAATTACCATTTAGGGGGGTTTTCATATTGTGATTCAAATCCTGTAACCTCCTTTCTGCTTCTAGTTAAGTTTTAGCACACTTATACTAAGTTTTTCGTTTTAATAGGTCAGGCTTTTCGCGTCACAAAATTTGCCAAGGGAACCTTGACCTCGTGTACTCGATCCAGGTCTCCTGACTCGCTCTCATATCTCTTAATGTGGTTTATTACATCTTTATACACATCTCGGTAAAGAAAGGAAAAATTTTGCATCAGCAAGCTGTCGAGGACGTATGTTTTTAAATTTTGGGGATAGAATTGAGACCCTGAGGCGACAAGTTTGTGTTTATGGAGGAGTTCTTTTCTTGAACCTTCAGAAACTAAAAATAATAAAGAGCCTTAGGAGACTGATGACACTGAATCTGATGTTGAAGTAGAAACCGCAAGAGTAAGTGTTATTTTTTTCGCTAGTTCGGTTTTTTCTATGAAGATCAAAAGAAAATGTTATCGTTAAACCAACCGGGTAGGATGTTAAAATGCCAAACAGCCAATAAGAACTCAACGTAGATAAAACGAATGATCGCGCAGGCGAGAAGGTTAGGAAGAGGGGCAAGTTTTATATTGCAATTACAGAGCACGATATGCAATACCAAGATTATTTTTGATCACTATCGACACTTCATAGGACTTTTCCAATCTGAATAATAGAGCGGATTTTTCACTCAGTAAGTATTAATTTTTTTTCAGTCAAGTGAAGGACGTGTGCATACCTCTGGTGAAAGCATTTTTTCCAAAAGTGGAAGTATCGAGAGTCTTTCAAGTGAATCAAGTGCTGAGTTACCTTCGTCAGAATCCTCCCTGACAGGAATAAGTTTTTCCTTTTCCAGTGATACTGTAGGTGAATGTGACGGTCCAAATACAGGCGTATCAAGGAGCTATAATAACATTGCCGTTTCAGTCAACAGTAACTTAGTAAGTGCATCGTTAGGTCAGGAGGCCGAACGAGAAAGTAATAGGGAACGCAAACGGGCGGCTGATGGTCTCACAACACATGGAAAAGCTGATGGGTCAGATAAAGATCAAATTGTTAGAATCGAAAGCATTGAGTTTTTCCTTGAACACAGGCAAGACGACGCAAACGAGGACATGGTCGCATGGCCAGAGGAAGTGTTATGCGACAACTTTCCAACTTTAGACTCGTCTAAAAATACAACTGAGCCCAAAGAACTTACCGGGCAGACTATAAGTCTAATAGCTTTTGATAGCAATTATCAGGGTCAGAACCGTGGATTTGAGGAAACTCTTGAAAATAAGACAGCTGTTGAGAATATGTTGCAGCAAGAGTTGGAGACTTTAGAAAACGAGTTGAACGTTGTCAAGGAGAGGGTAAAAGGTGGACTATTGGCAACGTCAAACTCGTCGGAAGAAGCAAGTCTACTATGTACCTTTAAGACTGAATCTACTGACACAATAATTGAACCCCTTTACCTGAGGAAACAGAATGAGAACTCTGACGAAAAAGTCTATCAAATGAAGATCCAAGAGCTACAAGAAACTCTTCAAAGGAAAACAGTTTATGGGGAAGTGTCAGAGGAAGAAATTAAGTGTTTTAAAAACGATCTGAATAGTGTTAAGACTGAGCAACTCTGAATACTGGTTCGATCAGTGCGCTAAGAAAAAGGAAAAATCCAGGAATTACTTATCAATACTCAAGACGTGACCTCCCTCAACTTTGAATTGCGCCGGGAAATTTACCAGAAAAGTAAAGTTATAAACGAAAGAGATGAGGAAATAAAAAGACTTATCAAAAGTAAGACTGAAGCAGAGATACTACTGCGAGAGGTAAAGGAGAAACTTTTAGAAGCTTATAAGGAGACAGAACTTTTGAAAATAGAGCAGGCGCAAATGAAGGAAGATAAAAGGTCAACCGCTTTCCAAACTGATGGTAAGGTTCTCACAAAGTCTGACATTCTAAATGACAACCTAAGAACAACTTACAAAGAAAAAACACGCTTTCTCGTTTCTAATCCCGACGAACAAGTCTTACCATCGAAAGTTGAGAATTCAACGCTTCACCAAGGATTCATGAGCTCAACCAGCAAAGATAAGAGGCAACAAAGCACGGTTGATAGAGAAGAGATAGCAACTAGTGGCAGGAAAGCAAAAAGTTCATTTTTCGCAAAAGATGGAAACAAGGGAACCCAATCACTATGGTTACCCACAGGAGCCTTTCTGGAATCAAACTGTCCAATGACCAGAGATCCAGAGAAAACTAAGAAAGCCGTAAGAGAATGGCTCAATACAATTATACGGGAAGCGAATAACAAATTGGTTAGAGAGCAAAAAATCAGTAATTTGGAAAGTGCTGGCGGCAATGAAAGGAAAAAATACTTTGATGGTGGAAAAAAAGAGCGAGTTGCTCTCTGAGAGAGACAATAGCTTCCTTTCAGGAAAAGATCTCGAAGGATGGTTCAAAACTTACGGAGCAACACCACGAAACCTCTTCCTCTCGCCTGGGAACAAAAACCAGGAGGCTTGACAGACAGGAGCCATTTAGAACAGCAGAACATGCCACAAAAGAATTTTTTGTTTCCAAGCGAAACTTGGCAGCTGAACAGCATACTATACAACAGGATGAGGTAACCCCAATTCGCTTGGTTCCTGTGTTGAACCATTTGATTTCCCCTTTTTTTACCCGTTTCGACGTCGTAGGCTTTTCAACCACCGACCCTATTGACTCTGTTGAGCCATTTAGTGAAGATTATCTTCCGTGGTTAGATTAGATACCGGACAAACACGGAGGAATTACGGCGAAAAGTTAGGAGGGAGGGTCAACATTCTACACACAAAGTCAGTCTCAACAAATTCCTCTCATCAAGCGTTGCAAAGAAACGAAGCTCAGGGAATTCAAAATTGAACGGCCCATAGGTATGCCATATTAGAATCTTGATACGCGGAAGAATTGTGCTTTGTAACATCACAATCAAGCAGTGTTACTTTTTGTTTAGAATTTTTAAATTTCAGAGGTAAGCCATGCTCAAAGGGAAAGTCACAATATTTCTTTCGTTTTTACATTGTTCATTGTTCGCCAAAGGCGAAATGAATATTGATGAGTAATCCCCGGATGAATTCGACACTATTCACTGACCCTGAGACGAATAATTATTTTAGTATAATTGCTCAGGTGCTTTTGAATTCTGTTGTAAATTTGTTTTGTGGTTGAAACCATTGTGTAATCGTTTTGATTACTGGAACCTATTTCATTCTAATTCCGTCAGAATTAAACAGGTTCATAATTTAATCTAATCCACCAAAACTTTGTGTCTCTTTTAAAAAGTGTTTAGAAAGTGTTAAGCTACACATATGGTTTTTTTTCTGCTCTTCACAATTGAATTTTATTCTATCACGTTTCTTACTCCTTGCGTAACATGAGTGAGTTAGCAAGGGGACGGGAACGGGAACGTTATTTCAGAACGGGAGAGCGCGCGGATAGTCCTGACAGGACACTTTTTCGACTTCCGGTGTTGGCATTATCGTTCTATTCAACAAATTCAGGGCATCATTTCGCTGGTTTTCCCGTCGCGATCGAAACGCGTGGGATTTACGTAAATTGTGCACTTGTAAATAATAATGTTTGGAATTAATCCAAAACTCATTTCCAGGATAAGTAGGTCCCCTTCCTTCTCTTATTCAGTGTATTTGTGAAAATTTATCGCTAAATTTTTGCAAAGTGGCTCTAAAATTTGACAGATGAATGAACAGACGCGAGACTAGATTAGAATAATTTTGTAAAAAGTCCAATTGTCCATGAGGATTCCAATCAAAATCTTTCTTTTATTATCAGTAATTATCCTCTGTTTTTTTTGTTTGCATAATTCTCAAAGAAGATAAATTCCTTGTCCCTAGAGCTGTCTATGAAACCGAAACTTTGTGATGGCGATCTTTAAAGAGCCAGGGTTTGGATATTCAAGAACGAAGATAGCGCTGAAGTCTCGTCGCTAAGTCACTTCTGAATCACAACGGGGCGACGTACCCGACCCAATTCCTTACCGATCTTTTTACTGCGTGCGTCGTTGTCGTGGATGGCAACGGTTAAACTCATTGGAAGTCTCCTAGAAGAGATCCTTTTTGGATTTCCCGGAAAAACGCAAAACATAGAAATTAATGAGATCAGGAGTTGGATTTCTTAATTGAGATCCACTTTGAGGATGGATTTCTCAGCGATGAAAGTCGTTTATGGATTTCATGTTTACCGCCAAATCCGAATTCCCGATTTCAAAATCAAAATCCAGATTCGTAACAGTTAAGCACACAGATTTCTTTGAACACGGCGTCTTCTTTCTGATTGGCCTAGACTAGCTCTCGACCCAGTTTCGTAGCAGCCACGTTCAAAATGGCGGACGAGCTGCGTGAATGTAGAACTGAAAGCACCGATGTCGCACTGAATAGTCGGTTTATTTCGACAGTTAAGTTACATTTGATGACGGATGATGATGACCTATGCTAAAAACTCGTCTCATCTTCACATTGTATATCGGATGTGTTAAGTAACGTCTTTCTATCATGATGAAATTCTAATGTTTACCAGGAACCACTTGACAGGTGAGAGATCTTCAAAGAACTTTCAACCGATTCAATGTCTATGGAATGTATCGTATCATAGGAACGATACTTATTCAACTTCTAACAAATGTTGCACTGAT